TGCAGCAGACACCGCGGCCGCAGTTCAACACTCGATTGCCTGCCAACTGTGTAATGCGTTGTTGACGTTGCCATCTGCAATGGAGCTTTTCATATCACGCAGCCACTCGCGCGCCGTCAAGCAGACAGCTTACAATCGCAGACAAAACCTACAAAAATATTCTTAACCAACCAACACATACACGCACATACATACGCATCATACAACCATACAATTACAAAAATCGAGCTTGTAAATAGTTCGGCGGAGAATCGAAGTGAAGTGCGACGCGACACACCTACATAATAAGATTTCTTCGGGTATCAAGCCAAATCAGAGAAATACGAAAATGCGTTAATGGCTATGAGAGCTGATATTATGATTATTATGTAATTAGATTAAGAGTAATTTAAGCTTTTTTCGAGTACATTTACGTCTGCTTACGAGTGTGTTTGATTTTTTCCAAGTTTCTCTTTTTCATAAAGTTCTTAGCATTATGGCAATGGCAGTCGTAAGTCCCAAATACAACAACAATAAATTCATTTGAAGTACGCGTCTATTTATGGCCTCATTTCTTCATTTCGATATTTTTTATTGTTGGTTTTTGTTTTTGGCTTGCCACATTCCGATGAACTCATTGTCTGTTGACAGAAATTATTCTATAATGATGCCACAATTGGTTGCAATTAAGATTGCAGTGTAAATTACTTTTAATGACAGCTTTTGTCTTTGCTCACTTTAAGACTCAGTTGCAATATAAATTTAAGCAGATTCTCCGCATAATAAATTAGGATTTATTGTATATGATCACTTCCTCAAATACGGAATGCAAAAGCTACAAAAATAGCTGGAAAGTCATGCATACTTATATAAATTCGATTAATTGATTGATTATTTTAATAATTCAACCAACGAACTGATTCTTTTTCATAAGCTCTATAATTTTTTAAAATATCCCTACAAATATTGTGCTATGATAGGAAATTGAGGTTAATTTGACATCAAGCAACCAGTTTTGCCATTTGTTGTAGTTTTAATTCTCAATATTATTATTATACTCCAAACATTCGAACATAGCTCTTTTATGGTTTTTTCAAAGTCAGGACATTATCAAGCCTCTCCTTTATTTTTTAAATTTTTTTTTATAAAAATCAATGTGGCGTCGCTGTAGCCTTAACCGATCAATTTTGAGGTAAACTATTTTTAAAAGTAAAAAAAAAATAATATGAAAAAAATCAATTTCAGTGTTATGTTAGCTAATGTAAAGCTTTTCTTATCTTTGATTTGTCGATAATGATGCACATATATTTAAAAATTTCGTTTTTATAGTCTAAAAAGTACTTAGTAATTAATATTAATCAGAAATAACAAACAAAAACTGTTTTGTTTGGAATTAGCGAATGTAATGGATAGTAGCTAAAAACAAACCAGAATATAATTTAATTAATTTTCAATTACTTTAATCATAATCAAGTTTGTTTGTAATTAGCGAAAATAATGCATAGTTATCAAAAACAAAACAAAATATTATTTAATTACTTTTCAACTACTTTAATCATTACATGTTGGATTGTAATTAGCGAAAGTAATGCATAGCTATCAAAAATAAATAAAAATATAGTTTATTTGCTTTTCAATTACTTTAGTCATGGCATATTTGTTAGTAATTAGCAGAGTAATGGATAGTACTTAAAACAAACCAAAAAATATAATTCCATTGTTTTTCAATTACTTTAATCGTTACTTTGCATTGCATGCAAAATAATATAAGATTCTGACAGTTACTACTTATAAATGAACGTACTTGTTTGTTATCGACGGTTAACAAGTCGTTGAACTGGTAATTTAAATTAACAAAACGTATTTAATGATAATGCTGTCCATTAATAATCATCTTTAAATATATAAAGAATAAAAAGGTTTTTAGTATATAAATATGAACTCACTTTTTACAACATATTTCACGATATTATAAAGTAGTATGATTACATATTAAAATACTTGTTTACACTAATTAATAATTAACAGCTGGCATTTATAATAAGTTATCAGATATTACCGCTAATTATTTAACTACTACTTATCCGGTGAAATGTCAATAAACCCCTCTCATTATTTACTCCATGTTGCCTGTCGGCATTTCCAATCTTCAATTACTACATTATCATCTTCTCGGATCTGCTCGCCTTCGTACGAGTTAATTTCCCAACTTGAATTGTAATTTCTCGTTTGCTTTAATTAGATGCACGAAACTTTGACATCTTAAACGGCGACAAGTCGTTTTTAGTGCAAAATGCGGCGTTTCATCCAAAAGCCTACAACTTCTCTACTTGTCGCGCCTAACTGCTTGCGGTGCGATTTGTCGTTTTGTTTGAGCGGTTCTCAGGCAGTTTGAGGTGCGCTTTGTAGTACTTAATGAATTTAAATTGTCTTCTTCTACACTCACCACCAAACTAAGAGAAGCGCTCATTCACACACACACACATAAGCTAGAACTGTGAAACCTTTATTTTACCGCTATTTTGCCACATTTTGCTTCATTTCTAATTTCGCCTTTCACAATTCAATGAAAATGACTTAATTATAACAATCAAGCCAAGTCGCTGCCTTTCCGAGCGTTTGCGTTTTGAGTCGCCAAATGAAGTCTTTAAGTGCCTTGATTACTTTTGACTCAAAGTGGAGGGCGGTAGCCCAAAATGCTGCACTAATTCTATTACATTAACTGTTTCATCGAAATTTTACTTTTCATCATTCATTCTGATGTTTCTTTGCCGCGGCCGTATGTTGGTCATGTTTTGAAATTTGGGCATTGATACGAAATGTGAAAGTGGCGCCCCTTCTCTGAACTCACTTCGGATTATATGTCAGTGTACAGTATCAACAGTTGTTGTTGTAGTTATTATTTTTTTCTTTTTGTTTTTATTAGTGTGGTTCTTTGCTGTAACTGCTGTTACATGCCGTCCGCTCTTTTACAGTTAACTCAGTTAATTTAAACGCGCTCAAACAGTCACATAAGCGCTGATAAATGCTGACTGCATTCACAACCAACGTTTCTCGTGTTGATAATAAGCTTCTGTGCTTTTTCCTTCTTTAAGCTGATGCTGTGCTCTTTAGATGCGTTTGCTCTTCTAATTTAGCTCCTGCCATCACATTTTCACTCTCTTTGTGTTTCCACTATTTCGTTGTTGTTGTAATTTAATTAAAAATTTTCACACCTACTTTATTTAATCTCCATCGCATTTTCAGTATATAGCGGCGTCGTCACATAGGGAACTCTATTTCGTATTTAACGTAAACTGGTGCCGGCCGTGAAGTATGCACGTACAAGTATTTCGTAAATTGTTGCTGCTGTAGCAGTATTGCTCATGTCATTGCTTCTGCTGCCACCAACATTTGAGTGGAAGGTTTTTGTTGCTACTTTATGGTCGCAATAGCTGTCGGGAACAATAAGGAATGCCAACTGATTTCAGATCAGCCATCAGTCTTCCAAAGCAATAAAATGTAGAGAAGAAAAGAGTTTGCTTTCCACCACAAACTCTATGGTAGGGATGCCAAAGTTACGAATGTAATTACACTCAAAATTTAGTTAAGGTTATAACTATTCATAACTGTAAAAGTCCAGTTATAATGTTGTATGTATTGCAACAATTATTACAATTACAATCAGTACCGCATTTTCTGTTAAAATATTACAAAAATTAGATAATTTCAATTACAATCACTACTATAACTTTCAATAATAAAATCAAATACAATTGAATTTAAACTTCTAATTCAATTACAACTATAACCGCACTGCATTACTACTATTACAATTACTTTTACAACAAAATTACATTTTAACTTTAGATTTATAATCAGATTAATATCATAAATTATTACAATTACTAAGACAATTACAATTACAATACAAATACTACTACCATACAATTATATTTTAATTTAAAATTAATAATTAAATTTAGTTTTGTAATTTAATTATTATTAGTAGTCAAGTTATGTACAAATATATTATAATTGTTCAATTACAATTCAATCGATTACAACCATTACAATTAATACAACATTTACACTTTACTCTTATTTACTCAAACTAAGAGTATTTACAAATGCAATTGCAATCACAATTACTACTGAGACCTTCGCGAATTTGGCAACCCTTTTTCGGCTTATCCATCATAGCTTTTATCCTTTCAAATATTCGTATAAATATTTCGCAGGATGCAATATGTTGCAGGGTGCGTAGAGTCAAGCGAGCAGAGTAATTGTTGGTTAGTCGCTCTCCATTACCGCCACCCTTTGCACTCGCATCCGAAAGCCTCACACTGCAGGCAGTGCGGCGAGTAATTGCGAAACTGCTGACTAGCGATAATCACGAGTAGGCGGCGTCCAAAGGGGCAAGGCTTCATTGCAACTTCAGCGAAAGCTAGAGTGCTTTTTTATTACACTTTCACTTAGCTCGCGAATAACGGCATTGCAATTGGGCTTCTGCGTGCGCAGCTCACTGTTTTTGTTTAGGTTGATGGCAGTGGAGGCACGTAATGAATAAAGTCACTGCGAAATTAAGTGCAACTGCAATTACATTAAAGTTTTCTCGTTTTTCGAAGCCACAGCGCAGCACACCACACTTCACCGCAAGCGTCACGCGTCGGTTGCCTAGCTGCGACTACACTTTTTGGGGCTTCTATAGAAGTTTAATGAGTGCCACACAGCAGGCAGTCGATTGCCGCACAATAATCAGACCGTTATTCCCTCCAACCCGACTGTGGTGCCTGAATAAGGGCGACAGCTCTTTAAGCACCATTGATGTTGCTATGATGTTGCCAATGCGTTCGGCGCCGCGGCATTGCCATTGCACAGCCATGCGTGTCCTTCGTTGTTTTTTGGTGTAACAGTTTCGCATTTCCACTTAATCTTCTAAACTTTAAATTGAAATTGCAATTTCCTGGCTATAATAATAAATTTCACATTGCTTTATTTTTATGCCACAATACTAAAGTATTACTCTATGCTTCTTCTAGGGCCACCTGGACCACCAGGCCCACCGGGCAAACGGGGGAAACGTGGCAAGAAGGGCGACCCTGGCGAAAAGGGTGATCCGGTAAGTATCTGATTTGCCGTCCCACATGCCTGTTGCACGACTGCTGCAGTGCTGGTGAATATAGTTCTGTTTATGGTACTTATTTCTCGTTTTCATATGACAGGGCGTCAATGGTGTAAACGGTGAGAAGGGCGCTGCCGGCAGACCGGGCGACAAAGGTCAAAAGGGTGATGTCGGCCATCCGGGCATTGATGTCTTCCAAACTGTGAAGGTGAGTGAACCCTGCTATGGCTAGTCCATATGCTAACCGAAACTGTTTTGTTGCAAATATTTCCCAATTCGATTTAAAAGAACAGCTGCGCTGCTAACAGTACAAAAATGGCTGCCACTAAAAAAAGTTTAATTTCGTATAAATTGCTGTGCATTAATTTTGCAACTACGTTTATATTAATTTACTAAAATAACTTGTTTTTAGGGGCTGAAGCGTTCGGTCACGACCTTACATGGCGGCACTTTAGGTTATGCAGAAATTGTTGCTGTCAAGGTATCACATTACTCGCATTATTTTCACCATAATTGTTGTTGCTAGTTTTGTATTTTTTGTTTTTTGTGATGGTTTTTGTAATTGTTGCACTTTTTCATGCACATTGGCTGGCTCACGGGCTTACCAACCGCAGCCAATTTCTGTGTGGTTTCACTTTGAAGTAGCGAATTTCGGTTTTTTCGCGGCTCTCGGTTTTATTGCTCACTTGTTTTTGTAGTTGTTGAATGTTTTATTTATTTTGCTGGTTAAACCTTTTTATTTCGTTGCTGATAATAACTTTTTATTGTTTGTAGTTTTCATTGCTGTCGTAGTGGTTGGCGTTAAAAGTAGCACTGTAAGCACTAGTTGTTGTTGTAGTACATAGCTGTAGCAAAGTCCTTGACTGGAATTTTATTTAACATTTGCCTGTCAACCGCAAAGCCTTTTACAACGATAATTTCCTCTTCAATTGCTCCGCAAACTAATAATTACAGAGAAAAGTTTCTGTGGGCATAATTTTTTTTTATTTTTATTTATTTGTTTTTGTTTTCGTATAATGTTAGTATGTAATGTGATATGACACACATGTGAGAATATCAGTAATTTCGGTTTTTATTTTTATTTGTAGTTATTAAAAAGTTATTTACATTGCTCATTCAACATACTGTAGTTGCAACAAGTAAGCGGTTATGGTTGTTTATGGTATACAAAAAAATAGTATGTTAAATGATGAAAATCTGATTAATATTGTGTATATATGTAGGTATATAGTTTTTTAATAAAAAAAATTGTTATATAATTTAAAAGTATCACTAAATCAACAAAAGTCCACCACTTGTAAAAATTCAGGCAGCTTTAACAACTATTTAGGCATGTGTGATTATTCGTTGCAGTTACTGTATGCACATATGTATGTTTGTAAACATAGTCAATATTTTACTCAAACGAAAAAGTTTGACATCACAAAAAATTCAAACGAAATAATTAATTTGTTCCGTTGCTATTTCATTAAATTACTACCAATTATCCCATTACAATTATGCTCATCAATATATGCACATATATACGTATATGGATTTATTAATAATGGCCAGTGTTACCAAATAACCTTTACAGTAATTAATTAATAACTTTTAAATTTAAATTATAACTTCAACTTCATATTAGGTATTGCCAACTTAAAGTTTTAATTAGTTTACATCTATTTAAAATTTACTTTTAATCATTAAAAGAAATCTTACAAAAATTATTATACACGTACGCATTGTAAATATTAAATTAAGATATACTCATAGCTATACATCAATGCTTAGCGATAAGATGAGAAAACGAAAATCTTCAAAGCTCACTTTGAAATATTCTGACTATAAGATTTGGAAAAAAGCAATTAAAATATTCCTAACTCGAAAATAAATCAACAACACGTCTTTCCTAGTCCACCCTTAGCATATTGCAGCTTAGGCATTGAAGCTGTTCTCAAATGGACAGTTGTAGACCGATCCATTGTATATCGTCAAAGAATATCAAGAATATCTCAAATCTATTGCAGTGACTAATTTTAAAACTGTTTAATTCGACTGAATGACTGAATGATATCCACAGTGTTCCAACCTTAGCCTTGCTAAAGTTGGGGAGCAAATTTTGTCACAACACTTTAATGACACCTTAGACAGTGGATGTTGGGCAAAAATGTTAACCTCACTGTTACAAGCCTCACATTTAGGGCAAGATGCAACTTGCTGATAAGAAAGAACTAGTCTGAAACAGAATAATATTGCAAATTTGAATTATTTCAATTGGAAAATCCTATTCAACAAGATCTCTTTAAAATAATGTGCAAAAAATATCGCGGTACAGTCTCAGCATTTCACAGTGGTTAGTAGATTGTGTCAATGGTGAAACTTAATGTGACGAACTAAAAACAGGCGATATTTGGGAATTAAAAAAATTAAAACCACCACTTCAATTGTTTTAAAATCAAGGTATATACAAACATATTTACGGAACACATGGCAAAATTTTAGAAGATAAACATTTAATATTTTTCGAGTTACATGCGATCTCCAACGGCGCTAAAAAATGTTCTGCTACTGCAGGGAATCCAGACTTATTCGCGGATAAAACCTAAAAAAATTATCTTTAGAGGTTATTGTCCATAAAATGTGCTAAAAAGCTTCGGTCGCTATTAGCTTGCCAAAATTCGATTTTTGATCAGACCAAAAAACTGGTAGCTCATTGTTTGAAGAACTATATGCAGAATATGCAGAAAAACTTTGATAGTGATCGCACACTTTGTCTCCGAGTAATCACTTAAGCAAATTTGAAAACTGTAATTTTGAAAACAAAAGCGAAAATTAGAGATATCACCTTAAAATATTTATATGTTATTTTTAAAGTTATAACCTATCGAAATATGAGATAAATCGATTTTTTTTTTAATTTCACACTATGTGTATCGCTTAAGATGATCGTATATGAAAGATATTACACTAAATCTAAATGCCTCCAAATGCCTTAAGACTAAAACACCAAAAAAAAACAAAAAAAGAATTTAAAAGTTAATAAAATACGAAAGATTATACAATCGATGCATAAAATATAAAAGTAAATAGAAAATTTTGAATATATGTACATAATTGGTTTCTTCAAACACGCACAATAAAATATTAATGTAAACTTCGACACCATTAAAGTTAATGCATCTGGGCATAGCATATAAATCCATACCACACACAAGACCCTAGAAAATTTTAATAATATATATACATACATATGTAATAACTATTATTGAAACTGCCGTGAACTCAGCATAAGTAAGTGTCATAAAACCTTAAAAAACCCATCTCAACTCAAAACCGCTTATCCGAAAATGCAGGAAAGCGTTTACAACTTCACATTTGAGCGCCAAACAAGCAGTAAATGCACTTAATGCTCGGTTCACACAAAATGTTAAAGCAAGACCGGCACATACGGACGTTAGTCTTTTAAAAACCTCAAACGCTTTTAAGCAAAAAATCCAAAACATTTTTCTTACGAATTCTAACACCAACACATGCTCAAACACAAATCCATTGACATGTGGCAACTTTGAAGATGCCATTTAAAGAAATTACACCAAAACTATCACACTTTACTGTTAAGTTACATTTTGCTGTTACTCACCGCTGACCACTACGCTTCCTCTGTAATGCGGTAATTGACCATGTCAATGAGCATGGGAGAGCGCAAGCAGTTTATTGAACTCAGCGAAGTCTTGGTTAAAGGATAAGCCTCATTTAAGTGAATTTTAACTAAAATTAGTTGCTACGGACGGACAATGCCGATACACATATTCACCAGCAGCATAAGTGCACTTTGGACACCTGCTCTCTTTCTTATAGTGCCGTTAATACATATTTTACTCACCCCACTGCATATTTATTCCCTTATACCGAAATCGGCTTTTGTTTTTCATTCGGCACGCTTCAATGCTTCGATTTAATGGCTATTTGTCGCGATTTCATATTGTCGTGTGTAAAAAATATTAAAGCGAATTATTTAAAGATGCATAACACGCTCATAAATGTGTCTGGACAGCGGAGATGACGACGATACGTAAGATACAGATGTTTTGTGTATTAACACATTAACGACTGGCTGCCCTGCTGGAAATTCTAAGCGAAGTCTGATCAAAAAATGTAAACATTTCGATCTCGTAAAGGTTGCCGAAAAAATTACGAAATTTACTTCGAAATATTATTAGTGTTTATTAATATTATTTGCTCAAAACTCAAAAAAACAGTTTTACGAAAGTAAAAGATCTCTGCTGTTATATATGCTTTAGCTCATAGGTCCAACTTCTAGAATATTCTACATGTTGTTGTTTCTATTAGAACTAATCGACTTATCTCTTGTTCTAAAAATGAATACAATCGAAAGTAGACAAAACTCGAAGACGCTCGATAAGAGAATTTTACGCTCCAAAAACACTATCAAAGGGGTACAAATATAGTAAAGAGCTTCTATATTCAGAATGTTACTATGAATTTTGAAAAACTTCTAGCTTGTCAATTATTGAAATAAAATTAAAATTCAGAGTGACATTTATCAAGCTAGACAACGAAATTTTTCCGATAGGCGTCTTCGAAGAAACCACACCCACATCACATCTTACACACATGTGTTGCATTGTATATGCAATGCTGTACATAGAATGAATGTAAATGTACACATATATATTTTTTTTCTCATGCGCTTCTGAACATGTGGCATCATCTGCAAGTCAATTTTATGAAATTTTTCAGACGGAAAAGTGCTACACATATGTTGCAAATGGCCAAAAGAAAAGTGTGTGCGCTTACAAAGTTTGCAATGCAAAAACACACTTAAGAACGTGTAAGTGTGTGAATGAGTGAGTGTATATGTAAGTGTTCATGTGCATAATGCTTTCAGCACGAAATTCTTTTATTTTTCCATTTTCATGGAAAAGGACCGCACACGTGATAACTTATACGTTTGCGTTAGGCGAAAGGTCTTAAAAGTTTTATGTCAAGCTGCGTTTAAGAGAAATTTGAGTGTTTACTGTTGGTGAGAATAAACTGCGAAAGCATTCAAAATAACAGTATATTTAAGTTAAAGTTGAAAGAGCAGTTAAATAATTAGATAAAAGGATTCTTGTTGTAGAACAACTTAAGCACTTTAGATGTGATTAAAAAAAAACAATGACTACTTTTTTAATTTTTCATCGGGAGCACACAAGTATCATGTCTAACAAGCTTCAAATTTCCAGAGAGTTTTATTTAAAATTATTTTTAAAGGGAGTGCACTCTTCAGCTAGGTCAACAATTTTCATTGCCATACTTCTTTAATTTTCCAATAATAGTCTACCGAGAAGGGATTTATTTATTTGAGATTTCACAGTTCAAAATATAAAATCTTGAAGTAAAATACTGAATATTTATCAAAACTTGTCAAAAAAGTAAGCAAAGCAAAAATTTAAATAAAATTTTGCTGCAAAAGAAACAAGTCCTCTTATAGCGAAAACTTAACTTGTTAACTAGGCAAATGCATTTGTAACTCTCATTTTACTTTATTTAAGTTATTTTAAAAATTTAGTTGTTGTTTTTTATTCTTAATTTTATTATTTTTGTTTTTGTTTCTATAATTTGTAAGGGTTTGCAAGAAGCCGGTGTGAATGTATCAGCCGCCACTGTCATACAATTGAAGGTAAGTGTCGGCATGCCTCTAAATGCAACAACAAACACACGCACGCACATTCACACATTCAAAAATCCAAACTAGTGCTTAATTCTAAAAGCAAAAAAAATATTTATGTATTTATGAGTGCACATTTTCATGCATAAGTAGATGCATGCCCGAACATTGCAAACATACACCCATACAACCACACATATGCAGTGAGCAGGTGACCAGGCGCAAGCATTATGCCATTTGGTCACTGGAGATTTTAAATATGCAGTCATAAAATAACAAAAAGCAAATATTCATCAAAATGCATTTGCAATGCAAAAGTGCAATATCCTAAGTGTGCTCATACACACACACACACACTTGTACATAGTATGTAGTTAGTAAAGCTCCCTCACATGTCATGTCACCAACAACTAAATAAAAATAAGAAGTTTTCAGGCATTTTTCAACGAATTTCAACATTTCACCAGTATTTTCAATTTAGTAAATTTTTAATGTTTTGCCTTTTCTAACAAAATGCTTTGTAGCTGCCACATATTTATTTTGCCATAATTCCATGCATGCACTAACATACTTGTATGTAGATATGTATGTAAATAGTAGAAGCTGGTTACATTTGTCAATTATTTTCATTAATTGCTATTTGTCTCTCCTTGCTGCTGCTGTTACTGCGATTAGGGTGAACCTGGCGAACCTGGTCCACCTGGACCACCAGGACCACCTGGGGAGGCCGGCTCACCCGGCATGAACGGCGGACGTGGACCACCTGGCGAAACCGGCCCAGCGGGACCTGCTGGACCACCTGGAGAACCCGGACCGATTGGCCCACCTGGCGCGCCGGGCACACTGGGACCTAAGGTAAGTACAGACACATTCTCCACATGTGAAAGGATTATGAATCCTTTGAGTTGATGTAAAAGCACGCACACAAGGATGATTACGACGGAGAAACTGACAAATGAAATCCATAAAATTTGTCATTCATGGAAATCATGACAGACATTTTGCGTTGCAGAGATGTTTAAACAAATTCGTTTATGTAATTAATTTGCCAGAATTTTAATAAATATTTATGATAATGCAATAGCAGTCTCGCTGGGTAGAAAATTTTGGCATTCATTTAATTCGTTCAAAATGAAAATGTCTCAAAATTTCAGATCACCCCTACTTTGAACGATAAATCACAAGATAAGTGACATACCAAAGTATATGTTTATAAGTTTTAGATATATAGCAAGGAACTTTTGACGATTAAGATCACGGAAAGTATGTAATAAGAAATAATGTACAACATTAAAAAGTTCTGTATTAAAAGACACTAAGAAAACCATGTCCCATAAACACGCCTTAGTACTTAGAGGGTCTATTGGAGGATTGCGCAATAGAACAGACTATTTTAAACATTAGCTGCCATCGAAAAACCACTATTAGAAGGAAGAATGTCAAGCTTTGTATTACAGTTCTATGACTTTACGCTATCGAACACATCAGCTGCTCTAGAAACAAAAAATGCTTGTCCGAGTAAGAAGTAAACCATGGCGTTCGGTGGGGATATTTCATCTGGTAAAGGAAATGAAGACATTGCGAAATGTGGAGATAGAATTTATTACTCTGTTACTGTATTTTCGAGAAATAATCTCGCTCCCTTAGTATTAAATACAATTCTATTACAATATGTTCTCACAAAATGTGAGAAGACTTCACCACACTTTTTAAACTTCCAATGATTGCCATTCAAAATATTGCTTTATGTATATGTATGGTATATACTAGATATTGAATTGATTAATTAAACCGCAGAATATCACAACTTTGATCAGCCATTTCGTGAGCACAATGATTGAGCATAATCCACTAATCAAAAGCAACAAAATTTATTTTGATGTTGCAAGATAGCAGAGGCATATTTCAAGCACATTAAAAGGACACTTCTGAATTAATGATTGAACCGATAGCACTAAAAACACAGATACATACAAACCAAATACCTACAGACACCATTATTTACGTTGTATGTGTGTGTATTAAACGTTGTTTGCATTAGAAAACTGTGTCGCACAAATAATAACGCTATTAAGGATCTAATATTTCAAAGTAAATAAGTTGTCAAGGGTCAATTTATGCACGCATCCTCCGACAACACACAATGTAAATGGAGAGAAAACCGTTGTGTGGCTGTAGCATGGCATCTTTCGCCGTGTTGCAGCTGCAGGCATTGTTTCCTTCGTTAGTGCCTATTCATTTTCTATTTATATACGCTTTTGTTTTCCATTATATCACCTCCGTTTCGGTTTTTATACTCCTATTTTGTACACAAACAGAAACAACTGCGCACTATTATCCTATCAAAACGGATATTTATGTGTCTGCGCTCAACCCAAAAGTGCCGACGAGTGTGCGCATCAGTTGCAGAGTCGGACAGTCGCAGCAGCAGATAGCGCTGCAAGGGCGAGATGGCTGAGAGTTACTGGGTATGTGATATGTGCGGTCGCTGACTTGTTGGCTGAGTGGTCGGACACCGGAATGTCACATCACTTATCATTTGTTTATGTTGCATGTTTGGACATTTGCTTATTTTATACTTAATTCCTTGTGTGCGTGTCCTCTTAACTCGAGCGAAGACTCAGACAGAGATCCAAAAAGATTCAACTACACACACACATGAGTGCCTATGCTAAGGCATATGCAACCTGCTGCCACAAATGTAATTGTCTTATTTTTATATATATTCTCGTTGTCCTTTGCAGGGTGACAAAGGTGACCGCGGTGATCGAGGTCTTACCACAACCATTAAAGGTGACGAATTTCCCACCGGCATCATTGAGGGGCCACCAGGTCCACCGGGACCACCTGGTAAGTAGTGTAAAATGTATTTGTAGTCTTATCAATTGGCCATACAAACTACTTAAATACACACATGTATACCAACTCATGTGTTTATTAAGTAAGTGATGCCACACTCTCGTAAATAAATAAATAAAGACTATATAAAGTATTTGTTGTTCTTGTTGGCAGCTAAAGCGCTGTACATATGTCCATACATGTGTCGCTTCTCACAATTGCCGCGCATCTGCCCCTCCTTCCCTCTCGCATAGATCGAACGTTATTCACGTGCTGTTTGTTTGTTTTCAAAGGTGTTTGCTGCTGGCTTTTGTTGTGCCACACGCTGTTAGTGAGCGCATACATTCACTAAATAGATATTTGTATAAATACACATCGATAAATATATATATATATATACATATATATATATACATATGTTTGTGTGGTATTTATTTGTTTTTGTGGTTGGGCACATCTTTAGCTGCCATGCCAACAGCTTCAAAGTGCCTGCCTTTGTAAACATTATTAAAAGGCAGGAAAAGTGCAATAACAAAATCATACGCGCACACTTACTTCTCGTCTTTAATGTTGTTGTAATCGTTGTATTAGAGCAAAATGTGTTGGTTGTTTTAATTTATGGCCTGCTGCATGTCGGCGTAACGCAAGCAGCGCGCAAGGAGCAGGCTGCACAGTGGTCTGAAGTGGCATTATAGCGGAGGATTTTTTTACTTACGATATTCCTCAACATCGAATGCTTAAAAATATATATTAATTACGTACTTGTCTTATACCAATTTACATTATTATATTACCTATATTTACCTATACAAGAAAAAAGAGACCTTAGTTACTACGCTTATAACTCAAACACACCTGAACCGATTTCGATAATTCACACCAACTCGAACTGGTCTCCGGCCAAACAAGAAGAATACCCAAAAAATTTCTAAGCAAATTTATTTCCCCATAAACTTTTTATGGAGCGATTTTCCGTCGACATTTTGATGATCGATGACGTTTATGTTTAAATCACAACATAACCATATTTTTTGACAATATTTTCAAATTATACAATACTAAGTTTTAACTGAGATTAATATTTTCGATTCGAACACTTTTACTTTTGCTATTCTGTGTTAAAACTCGTTTTAAAAATCTCGTTTCATATTAGCCTTTTCGGTTATCTATTTGGCGTTATAACACAGATTTTTTAGTGTTTTGTTCATTTTTTTTTGTTCACTATCCTCTTGCAATTCCTGCATTAGAATTCCTTCACGTAGCAATGTATAATGAAGTTAGCTTCAATAAAGCTTCGAAGTACAAGCTTGCCTCCAACTTTAATATCAAATTCAATGTCAGAGTTACCAGGTTCATACTATATATATATATATATATATATATACAAGTGAAGACTCTAATAATTTCAAATGCATTTCGACCTCAGATACTGGCCCTAATTAATATTTTCCTTATATTCCTCATTCGTAAAGGCTCATGCAAGCTTCTTGCTTTAGGAACAGATGGGACTAAAACTCATGAGGCATTGCTACCAAATACCTTTTCGTGGCCCAGCACTGGAATGAAAGCGGCAAAAATACCCTTCGTCTGCAAATACAATAATTACGAAGACCCGAAAGCACGATTTATTATAACAAGCTTAGCGCGAAAAAAATTAAGCAATTTCAAATATTTTATTTATTTTTTGTCTGACAACCAATTAGTTTCTGGTGGCCATACACTGTTCAATAATTTGCTCTTCACTCGAATGCAGCCAAGCGTTTATTTGTTTTCGTGCTGTTGCCTAGCGTTACACTCAACACACCGTAACTGCATCCACAACAAATACAAAACAAATATGTGCACATCAAACACACACACAAACAAACATACTATTGGTTCGGGTGTATCGAGTGGCACAACAAATGCACCGAATGTCTTAGAATTTGCTGTTTGTTCGGCTGACTGTTGCTGTGGCACTTAATTGAGTCACTTGAGCGCCGCCCAGTCCAAATTAACTGGGAGTGCATACAATGGGACAGCACAAGCAGCCGCCGATTAATTGGAAAATGTACCGTCATAGCTGATTTAGTAGGAGCACTAACACAACAACACAGATACATAATATTCGTTTTTTAGGCGTTTAAAAGATTTGCTTATTTTCCAATGAGATTTTATTTATTTTCTTTTTTCTTATTTAAAAGTGGATCTTACACATTGTAGCGGCAGCAACACGCTGTGCACTTTCCAAAATCATTCAGCTCATTTCTCTGAATTGCCACGCATTGTTGACATTTGCTGTTGATTTATGATATCTCTTTGTGTTGGTGTGGATTTGTGCTCACCTTCAGTTTTTGAATTGTACCACGCACCGTTTTCTTTGGCGCTGAGTTGCCTCGAAATTCCACAAAATTGATTAGAACAAAAAAACTATGGAGAAATAAAATTAAAAAGCATAAATTGAAAAGAAAATTAGCGCACCCGCCAACACTTGTCCCACCGCCTCCACGACAAATGCGCCGAAAATGAAAAATTTCATAATCACATACAGAGACAAATGCAAATGGAATACAAAAACAATAACGCTGGATATTCAAGCAGCTTAGAAATCTGTATGAAATTGAATAAATTTGAAAACGCTTTTCGGCACATTAATCATCTCCAAAGGCGGGCGGGATTAGCGCGTGTCGCGTCATATTTCTCGCCTCTGCAGAGCGAGAGCAATACCAATCAACGCACACAAAATTAATACACCGCCATACATACTTAATACAAATATACATATGTATGTGCATGCATTTGAATGGGCGCACAACCGACCCCCACAATCGCGCGGGCTGCTGCGATCGATCAAACCGGCACTGTATTTCTTCTTAATGAACGATATGATATGAAAAAACACAAAAACAATTCTTAATATCTGTGTGTGCCAAGCGGAAGCGAGTACTCATATACATACATAGCTCCACATTAAGCGAGCGCATTAGCATGTGCATACTCGCTGGTGCGCTTGTTGGCCTTCAGCATCAGCTATTTGCTTGTTTGTCGTCGCATTTCGGCGATTGTTTAGTTTATTACTGACCCCCTTTGGTTTTGCGCGCCACACGCGGCAGCTCATTTACACGCTCACACACACGAACACACAAGTGCGTTATCATATGCGCCTAACACTTGTTTATTGGTGTGAAATTCTTTATGTGCCACAGTTCATTTCACACATTTACGATTTGCCACTTGCGCTGCCCCGACCCCCAACAAATAAATTTTTAGTGTTTCCCCTAGCATGTTGTTTCGGTCACGTTGGCTTCCTCTTTTAATTATTTTTAACAAATTTTTCACATTGTTATTGTTTATTTTTTATATTTAGTTAGCCGCATCTAATACTTGTAGCGCATAAAAGAATAAGAGGCGCTTTTACAAGTAGAAAGAACAAAAGGAAATAAATATTTTCTTAATACTGTGCCTGTTGGGAATTTCACACTTAATTGAAAAAGAAAGAAAATATTATGTGTTTCAAAATTTATTTGCTTTTTCATTTATTAGCTGAGCGCGCTGCGCTAATTGTTTTGTTGCATTTGGCGCGTAAATTATCCCATTTCGTTCGTCCCTTCTAGCTGACACAAATTTCCTCTGCCATAAACAATTTAAAGCGTTTAATGACACATTAGAAATGCATTCAAAATAATTTAGTTAAGGCGTTTAATTGGCCTAAGGCAAAGGTCGTGCTGATTTCATTCGTAATGCGCTCTCTGTTGCTTTTGGAGGTGTTTAGTGTGTTAAATTGTTATTTATCATCTGGGATTGAGCAGGATGCAGCCTACTTTACTGGCGAAAGAGATCTATGAAAACAAATTTGATATTTATTTCTTATAAAAAAAACAAGAAATATATGTAGGTAAGAATGTATTTTTCAATCGTGCTTTTTTTTCTAATTTTTAAAATTTTTTAGATTTTCTTAGTGTTAATGAGGAAGACTAAAGCAATTATGTTGATATGGGATTTATTCATATTATATAGAACCTTGATGTCTATTTATCAAATATGAGCTCCATTACGATACTCACATCAATTGAATTTAGAGCTCTCTCTCAAGCAAAAGCTTTATATTTTCTCCTTCTTTAGTCCGTCAATATCAGTTTATCATAAACAACCAAATGAAGGATTTACATTTCAGAAAAAACGCGCTTTTTGTGAATTTTGTTTAAAGGGGCATTTTATTTAATAAATAAACAAAAATAATTTAAGTTTACAGAATTTAATGAACTTTTAAAAACGGCGATTCATTTTGAAAAATTTTAGATTCCCTTGATCCACTTACCGATCTCCAGGGTGACCTCCGAAAAAATATGTCTGGCGGTGAAAAAGACTTTTCTGCTTAAATATAACTTTTAATATAATATAAATATAATTTATGAAGTTTAAAATTAAAAAAAAGTGTATTATTACTATAAATGATTACAGCTAGTGATCGAAGGACTAACCAAATTTGAATTTTTGGCGAGATGGCGTAAGCCAAAAAACCGCATGGTTTTTGTTTTTACATTTACAAAAAATAAATAAAAAATCTAAAGTTCATCAATCCAGCCGTTTCGGAGAAATTTTGTTCAGCTCACCGGCTCTGAAAACAGCGAATCAGGAAAAAGGCATTTCAAGTTTTGGATGCCGATTACACTAAGTCAAAAAATTCTTAACAACATGCTCATATATCCGAAACTAACTATGGAAACTAACTTTACCATCGCTATATTCGATTTTTTGAAATTCACAAGTGAATATTGTAACCACTTATGTTATAACTTCTATCGATAATTCCAAAACTTCCCACTCAGTTAGCGCCATATTTTATTGCTCGTATTTGTCAACGTATTAAACATTTTAGTAATAATAATCGAATATATTTTATACACACAAAGCTTTTATGTTCCTTCCAAATTTTAAAAGAACATGTGACAAAACAGAGGTTTCTAAACGTATTAACTTGGTCCAATATAAGCAGCATAACAATAAATATTGTGTCATCAACAATTGGGTAT